CCATACACTGTTCACTCTCTGTTTCAGCATCCACTTTCTGCCACTGTGTGACAGGATACACGGCAAGATGGACCTATGATCTGACCAAGGAAATGGCAGGTCTTCCATTCTTATGACCTCCTTAATTAACTGGGGGATTCCCTTATTCTGCTGCTTCTCACTCGACCCATAGTACCCCACATCCTACCAGGGTGTGTGGGGATTCTCCTCTCCCGGCTCTAACCTCCCTCCCCCTACACACACACACAGCCCCCAACATCTTCACAAATAACACCCCCCAACACCTTCACAAATAACACCCCCCACGCATTTAAGATAGCATCGCGTGATTTACGTGCCAATCTCTTGATTTTTTTAAGGGTCTCTCTCATGATTTTTGGCATGGTGGGGTTGGCAATACTGCTCCATTCAAAATTTTTTAGGCGTCCGCAAATGAAAAGTTGAAAACCACTGCTCTATAAAATAACATGCCACAGAAAAGCAGGGGAAACCATGTTATTTCCAATCCCTTGCCACTATAGTTGGTTAATCTGTGATCAGAAGAACCTAGAGAAAGGACTACAGAAGACGACAAAAATAGCCTTAAAAGTCCTTTCCAAATCTGACCTAACCTAGAGGAAAAAGTTCTTCCTGCCTCCAAACCTGCTGATCAGTATTGAGCTTTGAATGGAAGAGCACAATCAGATTAAATACATGTTTTACTAAATATTTTGGATTACTGGATTTATTTGGATTCCTCTATGCTTTTCTAACAATTTGTATGCAAGCAAACAAAAACAGAAATATACCACAATACACTTCCTCCTCCTATCTCAGTTCTCCCCTCAAAAGAAAATATCTCCTTACAAACCTCAAGAAGAGTCGGGATGGTTTGACTACACGTCTAGTGCAGAGGTACATGTTTTTTTTAACTGCTTTTCTAATTTCCTCTTGCATCATTTCTCTTTTTTGCCTGGAGTTCTGAGCCTATTAGGAAAGTGAGGATTTCCCCAATTTGGGAGAAAAAGTCCTGTGGTTTAACTCATCTAAATATGAATTTAGGAAAACATGTATGGAAGCCTACATGTGAATATTTTAAATACAAGGACTAATCAAGCCCCTCTTGTATCACTTTCCAGGATCACGGCAGCTAATTAGTGCCAGCTCTTAGTGGTCAGGTTTGGGATAGAGTCAAGCATTTTGGTTAGCAGTCAGGAAACTGCAGATGGGACCATGACAAAAATGGCTGCAGCCACCAGATTTTTTGTGGTGCACCTTTACTGGCTTAACAAACAGGAGCAAAAGGCCAATATTTGAATAGCTGTCGATTTCAGTTCCAAAAAATCCTTGTTGTCATCAATACTAGCCTAGTAAAATCATGTTTACATCATCCTAGCAAACTGTGTTAAAATACAGTGTAATAACAGTGCTTAGCACTATGTATCTGCTCACCACTGGAAGTTAAAAAATAGTAGTCAGTTGGTGTTAGAATGACAGTCAACTCAGCTGAAATTTCTCTAAAATTTCTCTAGCTATAGGCAATTCAGCATGTCTACCCTGGTTCTAAGAAGACAATTCCTTGATGCGAGTCTTTTTGAAAATTTAAGAGGAGAAATTAGGTTTGAAGTACTTACATTTCCCTGGTTTTGCTGGGATTCGAATAACAGTAGGCTTCCGGGCTACGGCTGGTTGAACTGTCTGTTCCTTTGCAGGCTCATTTTTGCAGGGCAACTGAAAGGGATCTAATGAAAAAAACCACAACTTAGTAAGTCTTTGTTAAATACAAGCCTCAACAGACACCACATTCATTATTAAAGGCATGTATATTTCATGCCCAAGAGAAATCAACAAAATCTAAGTAACCAGTAAAAGCAAATACAGAGCTAATGAAAAGCGAGCACTCAGCTCTTTGTGAATAATGTATTTTTTGTGCATCTGTTCTGACAAATTATTCAAAGCTAAGTAAACTTAAACCATGTTTCAGATGCCTCCCAGGATTATCTAAGTTACTAAGCAAGAGCAAGTACACCACTGAATAACAGGGGTTTGAAGAAGACAATATTGCTTTAGGGAAACATATTTCCAGAGCAGTTGCTCTAGTATGCACACACAGTTATGAATACATGTAAGAGAGAAAGAGTTTTGTTCTACAAAACCTTGCAAAAACTAGATCACTACCACAGCAGATGAAAGAACTACAGAAAACACGAATGCATTTTAACTGTTAGGCTTACAAAATGTTTTTGGTGCCCTCTGTCATTTCTTTAATTCACTGTCTAATTCAAACTTTGAGGATTGTTAGCCTTCCTATAGATCATCATCCTATGAGATGGTTTTGTGGTTAAGACACAGAATTAACAGCCCCATGTATATTCTAGCTCCATCTGTCTCTCATATGTTTTTGTGTGAGCCTAGGGAAAATATTTAGCATTACTATCCATGCGTAAAATCAAGGTAGTATTTTGCCACACTTCAGAGAAATTAAAGGCTTTAATAAATTAATGTACATGAGAGGTTCAGATACCACACAAAAAGCAAACACAGCAATACACTGACACAAATAAAACGGACAACTACTTACTCTCATTACCTTTGTTTGGAGAAGAAGAATTCATTTTGCATCACTCTCTACTACCATCAACTAGAATATTTTTTTTTTACTTTCCTGGTACCCATCCCGATGCACTGAGATGCCTACACTTACTGCACCATAAATGAATAAGATGGAAATCAGAGAGTGTTCTGGCCATGACACCTATCCACTGTTCATGCAAGAGCCCATGCAAATAAACATTGATCTCAGGCAGCCATTTGAGATGTACGGTTTAATGGGACATTATCTGGTATCAAATGCACTGAAGGGTCCCTTTACATTCTCCAGTTTCATCTTATCACTGAAGGTAGGAAATGGCAAAACAAAACTAAGAGAAATCCACACTGCCCAAATAGGATGTCTAAAATAATTTAAATTTTTGTAATTTTCTTTATTAAAGAGATAATATGAGGGCTGCCTTTTAAACAATACAACCTGAGGCAGTTCACCAAGAAACTTCAGATATTTGCTGTTTGGAGATTAAAATGAAGATTCCAAAAATGGAAAATGCTGGGCTTTCCTAGGAGCAGTCTAATTAAAAATGACTAGTTCTAATTTTAAAACTCTGACATTTCTATTATAGCTCTATTGAGCTATTTTTGTATATGGGCATTTTGTTGGCAGATGCCAAGAAGGAATTTCCAAAGCTACATACATATGCAAACTCAGTCTTGTAAAGGTGTATGTACAGTGAGATCAGTCCGTTAGTGATCTCACTATCAGGCTGATCTCATTATACATGTGTGTTTACCCCGGGACTGATGCACTTAGAAACCATTACCAAAAAAAAGGGGTTGCAAAGGCTCAGCCATGTCAGCAGAATGGGAGGAGACCACATTCCCCAAAATATTCTGTATAGCGAGATTCGAGATAGCTCTAGAAAGCTAGGCTGCCCTTTATGGCGATACCACAACATGTGCAAAAATGATATTAAGTCATTCAACATCAACAAAGAAAGCTGGGAGAAGCGCGCAAAATCCCATCCAATCTGGAGGGAACATCTGGCACGGGGTGCAGCTCAACATGAAGCAGCTTCGATCCAGAGGATGGAAACAAACCGAGAAAGAAGGAAGCAGCATGCTGTAAACTTGGACTCCAACTTAGACAACACAAGGATCTGTGAAACTTGTAACAAGCTGTGTCACTTTTGGATTCCTCAGGCACCTGACCAGACCTCTTACATGTACACCACGATCTAGAGGATCGACTGCTCATAGTGCAATCAAACAAGACGGCTGAAAATGCGTTAGACACATGCCTATACTTCTAATGCAAAGTTCTTTGGGGATCTGTCTACATGGCACACTCTGGTACAGCTGCACTATCATGACCCTCTACCTGAAGATTTTACTTTATTTCTTAGCAGAGATATACTGGTCCACATGGAGCTCTCTGAGGAAGTGGCTATACTTCTGGTATCTCAGATAGCTGGGTACCTTTGTATGGCACTACTTTCTGAAATTCCAATAATTACTTATTTTTCTCTTGCTACTCCTTCTACCAATACTCAATGCTGTTCAAAGTTATTGCTCTACACGGATAATTCCTGAGAAAGGCCATTATCAAATCTTCATCTGCACAGCACTCATCATGAGGCTATGAAAAACATTTCTGAGAACCTTAGTTTTCCACTCATTATCTTTTGCTCAATTATACAGTTGCCACCTCATAATTAGTTTAAACCTCATTACCTTGTTTGTGTCATTCCCTTTCCAAGTGCTGTGTTAGTAGCAGAAATTGGCTGGGTAAACTACTATGCTGCCTTGTGTAATGGGACTGACAGTGTATGAATTTTTTATGTTGTTTAACAACAACTGGGCATGGTTCGAGCATGATTCATGAAAGTGTGAACAGAGAATTGCTAATACACTCACTTAGGGCTTCTCAATACCAGTAAATTAATCTGCAAGGCACCCTTCACAACACTAATATCAATGGATTTCTATCATTTTTCTTTCATAATCTTTTCATACAATTTCCACTGCTCACATTTTCTTGAGCCTGGCTTTTCCATGTCTGCTAATAAAACAATTTTATAGCCTCCCCTTGCTAGCATATTTTGTTGTGTATATTCTTCAAGTAGGCAATGAGGTAGGATGCATCCAAGGAGCCTATATATTTCCTTTTGCTTCTACTGGTTAAGGGGAGAGAGAGATTTTTCACCTACACCACCTTCATTCAACACTAAAGACAATAGGATGACACAGCAAAGGAAGGAGGCTGCTACTCTTCTGAAGCTGTTATAGTTAGTACATAATGAAGAGGCAGTGTAATGCAATCCATTGCTTGTCCCTCTGCTACCAATACACATCCCCAACAGGGCTGTAGATGCTGGACTTCAGCTGCGGGCCCTGTCCCTGACAGCACCTATACACGTGCTCCAACGCGTTCAAATCAGAACACTCCAGCGTGCTGCAGCATCTCATGTATTCAGCAACCCCACATTTCAAAATGATGGTGGGGGCTTTAGTTAAAGCGCCCCCACTGACATTTTGAAACACAGAGCAAGAAATACACGAGATGCTGCAAGTATTTTACTTTGAACGGCTCCCAAGAATCACTAATTAAAATGCGCCCCCCCCAGCATGTGTAAAAATGCCCTGAATTTCCAGCCACCCCAGGAACCCCACAGGTCAGATGATATGGTTCTGCATCGCTGTCTTTAGGCAAAAAATAAAAGATAGTAGCCGCTTTTTCAGATAGAGTGAAGGGGCAGGGGGGCTCTGAACAGACAGGCAACAGAGAATAGGAAAAGGTAGTATAAATGACCCATTTCTAAAGAAGCCACCTTCTCTTGATTCAATCCTGAAAATAGTGCTTTCAGTTCATCTAAGAATGACATAATGTACTGGAAATGCTGATTCACTAGTGCCACACGGTATGTTACTGCTACACACACACGCAACTGCCTACTTTAAACAATAAATTAGCAATTAAAGATGGGACATTAAAAAGTCAAGACGGTTATCTGGGCCTTCTAGGTACCAAGGTTTACCCCACTCTATAAAAACAAAACACATATGTATTAAAATTTTACCTCAGTGAAACCACTTCAGCCTGTGTAGAACTGTGCCTAACCAACACTTGGATGACAGACATTAAACCTCCCCCGCAAAACCAACCAAAAAAACCCAACAGAAATATGGCTGGGGATTCACGAAGCAGACCACAATGGAAACAATACTGAACAAAATTAGCTTGGTGCTCCATGGCATAACGTTGCTGAAAATACCTTGCTATCCCAACATATACAGTTTTTAACACAATATGCTTTGCAAGCCTCCGACGTGAAAATTCCTACCTAACGCTCGCTTTCCCAGCAACAGTTGAAGGACAATAAGAAGGGTAGGACCTAAATCTGTTTGGCAAGTCAGGATTTCAGGAGCTTGCACAGGGGTCTGTAACCTGCGTAGAGCCTGAAGCATAGCTTAAAGCAGAGGTGTTAAAATCCTTTGGCTTCCCCACCAGATCCAAATCTCAGGGCTCAACCTAGGCCAGGTCTAGACCCACTTCCAGTGGCGGGATGAGCAACAGGGACAGAACCACTGCAGGTTCCAGAGCTATGGAGATTAACACACCCATTGCTTGCCCCTCTGCCAATGATAAACATCCCCAGTGTGGGGACGGGAAGGGGCTGATACACATTCCATATACTGTCCTGTCCCTGAACTCCCAGTTTTTCCAAAAGCCGTGCAGGCCAGATGATATAGCCAGATCTGGTTTGTAGGCTACATCTTTGACACCCACTGGCTTAATGAATTCTTCATGAATTTCTTCTTGAAATGTTTCTTGAATTTCTCAGCGTTCCAGCATTTTTGGAAGAACAGAAGATTTAGCCAGCTGATGTACCATTGCACATCCCTGGAAGAAGGGGTCACTACTTTTGCAGCCATGAAGTAGTTTTGTCGTCACTGGGTATATCTACACAGTGCAAATACATGCATATACAGCGCAGCGCTGTGCCAGGCAAAGATCTTACCTAAGGTCCAGGAACAAGCCTAATGGTGTTACCAACAAGACTACACTGTTTTCTGTTCCAGAACTAATTTGAGCTGGCTCAATAATCTCTCCACTGCACTGTACTGCACCATGTAAACTTTGAGTCCTATAAAGGAGAATTTCTTCCTCCCCTACTCCCACATAAACTTT